ATCTATTTGAACATAGAAATAGATTATCACTTAAAAGCACAGGTGAAACAATCCTGTTTTTTTCTGGGAGAGGCATTCCATTAGGCTTGGGCACTCACTTGCCAGGGCAAGCAATCATTTATAAGGAACACTAAACTCTTTTTCTTTATTGATTCTGTGTCCTCCCCACTTCTATCAGCAGGCTCCAACAAACTTTTGTTTGAAGACACCTGCACATCATCAGCAAGACTGAAAACAAGGTTTGTAGCTGTATTTGGCAAATGGAGTGAGAGTTCATTTGAGGTCATACATTCTGGGATTTGGTAATGAGATACTACACTCAGATTTCAGAAGGTCTCCAGAGCCCTGTGACTTGCTGTAGTATATTCACCAGACCAAAACACTCCTTTTTACATTTATTTATATATTTACTTACTTGTTTGTTTTGCTTTGGCAAACTAGTGGGATTGTTGTTACACTTGCATGTGTTTGCTTTTGTCATTCATTTACGGAACATTTCTTTTTATCCCATACCAGATATGAGAAAGGCCTATTGGTTTCAGTACCATGACATCACAGTTTTTATCACTGTATTTTGGTGCATGCATCTACCTCAGCCCAGTATTAATTCTTGATAGAGCCTTCATCTTGTTTGGAATACCCATGCAGTGCAGCCGCTTACATTAGCGATAAAACTCTGCTCCAGAATTTATATATCTACTCTAGGAATATGTGTCGGGCATTCTTGGGAAATGTTAGATGTTGTCTAACCTAAATCTATACTACCCCATGTCTCAATCATTAAGTCTACTGTGTGCCTCTATTTAATCATGAATTATTTCCAAAATAAGGACTATCTCTCAGAGTTTCCCATAGGATCTGACTCTCAGATAACACCTACTAATTGCTGAACCAAATTGCCTGCCCAATTTCCTACCTATTAATTTATTCAATGGAAAATGGATATGTTTGATGTTAGACTCCTTGGCCTTGAAGTTTTATCATAGTACTTACTGGTTCTGAAATGTTAAGACATTAGCTGATGATGAGGGCTACCTCTCCAGAAACTACAAGAGAAGCTCACAGGGATCACCATAAGCTGAGGCATGCAGATATATGTTGCAGATAATTAGGAAGTCACAGCTCAGCTTCTTTTGGCTGTTTTATCTTCTTCAGTGATCCATCACGGCAATAATTACTCTTTCTGCTCCATTGTGCCTAGTCTTTATTGCTTGCTTGTTTGTATGGAGAAAACCTCCCTCAGATAACAGGTTTCTGCCTATATATTTCAGCTACAAAACTATCTCCCATGTCCCTCCAGCTTACGGAAGAAATCTGCCCTACAGTCCTATCATATAAAGTAAAATGTTCATCATGACCTTCCTTAGACTCTTTCTGCAAAATTTGTCCATTCCCATGCTCTACTCATTTTGCAATAGAATTCATGAGGGATGCCACCCCTTGTGGTTTGTTTTAAACTATGTGAATGTACCCAGTACAGTACTTGTGACCATCCTGTCCTGGATAAATCATTTGAAGGGTGTACATTGGTTGTACCAAAGAGCAGAGAAATCCTTACCCAGGAGAATGACAATGCAGGCAAGGATGGCGATAAGTGCCCCGGTGCTCAAGCCAGCTTTCAGGATGTAGGCCTCAGCATTACAGGAGAGCAGTACCCCATTCACATCACACCCACAGACTTTAATAGTGAGGGTATTGGTGCTACTCATGGGTGGGATGCCACCATCGCTGATCACAATGGGCAGGAGGTAAAAGTCCTGCTTCTGTCGACTGAACCCTCCACGCCGAGCGTATACGCCTGCAGTGTTATCTGTTTGAAGAAGAGAGACGGTGTGTTTTCATCATAGGGCCAAACCAATCACAGTTGCCAACCACTTTCCAGCTTTGAAGACATATTTTGTGTTACCAAAGTCAAAGTTAGAGCCTTTCTCATTTGTTCATTCATCTAGATGTTTACAGAGGCCATGGTATGTCATGATCCTATGACAGAATTAACTCTACATTTTGGAGAAATTGGCTTTTTAAGGTTTGTATTTGGCAGATTGTATTTTCTAAAATATTCCACATCCTTCCACACTCAAATCACAAACCCACTCATAAACCACCGGAAAATTTCTTCAGGAAAGTAGAAATATGTGATTAACTGTGCAGCTCATTCTTGTTTCTTTGAAACTCAAACAAGCCTCAGCGACCAAGTCCTTAAGCGTGTCACCGTATTGAATTCAACAGCTCTCTCTGTCACCCACATTGCCCAAGACTGCAAAGCAGAACACTGCATTTTCTTTACCTAGACTTAAGCATGTTTTCCCAGTTGACAAATGCTGCCATCCCAAATGAACCAGTTCAGCTCAACACGGAGAACGCACTTGTGTTCCAAGCACCACTGAATATGCCTTGTCTTTCCTTCCAGTGTTTTCTCACATCAAATAGCTATTTTCTATAAGGAAAGTCATACTTCTCCTGGCTCAAAAATACATCTCAAAGTCATCCCTGAAGGATTCCCTCTGAACCTCTCCATTACCCCTGTCTATTGTGAATCATCATACTCTATATTCCTATTTCTATAAAAGTACATATTCTACACATCTCTCAGGATTTGCTGACATAACCACTTTGACCTCAATGAGATTGGGGATTTCCAGAGAGTGGAGGATTTTATCTGATTCATCTCAAGCTCTTTACTGTCAGATGCACAGCAGGCACTTAATAAATATTTGCTGAGCAAATCGTGTAACTCGGTCCTGGGAAAAGTTTAACCAAATCTCCAGATGTTGGCTTTCATGTTTCTCCATGTTTTATAACCTCTATTCTTCAATGCTTCCTCATCATGTTCTCTCTCCAGGCAAAAATCCAATACGGCATACTTTTTCCTGTTAGAGAAAACATTGTTTCTTTTAATGAGTAGAAATTTAGGGGGAGGAGGGGAGGGGGAGGGAACTGAGAGTGACATGTGCAAAAAGTTAAATTAACAAAAAAGAAAAAAGAAAGTCAAAGTTCTCCATCAAATTGTGTGTGGCACCCTGATCTGCTGGTATGGCCTGGCCATTTGTAGGTTAAAAAGCGGCAATTTATAGCAGAGTGAATGCTATGGCCAAGAGCAAGGCTGCCTAGCTGACAAGCTTAAACTAGGTTGATAGGGTCATAAATTCATTACTATAGTAGGAAAAATATATCCAAGAATCTTGAAGTAAAATTGATGGGTTTTAGGTAAAAGAAAATGTAATTTATTTTACTTGGTCTGTTTGATAGATCTGATACATTTTAGTCACCAACTTTGGCAATCTTTATGATGATGGTTTCTCAGCCTTGCACTGCCAGCTAAACCAAGCCAAGGTAGAATGCCTGGGTCTCTCATTTCTATATTTTCTGGATTTTGTGTGATTGGAATACTACGATTTTATAATTGGAGAAAAGTTATATATACTACATAAAATAGGGTGAAAAATAAACTAGCCAAACAAAAGTTAGTCTCTTGATGATGATCTTCTGTTCATGGTGAAACCACTGTGTCTCACTTCATATTAAATGTATGTGTCTATAATAAATTATTTAAACACATTGTCTATTTTCTGCTTATCTGTGTTTAAATAAGATTTTCACAACTAAAAATTTACAATCTTTACTCCATTTTAATGACTTGAAATACCATTATAGACATTATGAATGAAATAAATATTAAAAATTCATAAATACAAGCAAGTAGATTAAATGTCTTGATTAAAGTAGCTATAAAATGGGTGGAGTTTAACTATGAAGATTCTACTCTGGTACCATGAAATCATGGCTAAAAAGAATGTGAACCGAGAATTTTTCTTTCTGTTTTCATAAACTTTTGCAAACCATTATTTGAAATCTATTTTTTAACCAGTCATCCATGCAGGTTTGCCTGTTCAGATCATAGCAGTCAACCTACACAAGAGTAGTTGAAACTCAAACATTAGTGTAACATAGTTTTATAAACACAGGAATATGTGAGTCTGAGGTGAGTCATTTTCTGTAAAGCCAGCTGTTCTCAGAGACACTGAAATTATTACAGAAAAGCTCATCCGAGTTCCAGGTTAACTGACTCAGGTCCAGACTCTGGGTGATAGAACAGCAGGATCTCTAAAAGTCCTTTTAAAATCTCTTCTGGTAAAGGATGTTTATACACACAGAGATTAGGATCAGTTCTAGGGATAGGAAAGAAGTGGACTATGAGTCTTCCAGAAATGTTAATTGCAAGTTTCAATAATGAATGTTTTTCCCCCGTCTAGAGTCTTTACTGCTTATCTTTAAAACAAGAAAATCTACTGAAACATTGAGTGGTTACTGGAACTAAATGATGTAATACACTCCACCAAATGTCCTCTAGGCTGGTTCGTCTTCCAGAGAACCCACAGAATCTGCCAACCAAAACCTTAACACCCAGAGACAAGACCATCCATGGGCCTTAATGAAGAGTTAAGGTTATAGACAGGAGACTTGTCTACCAATCTGACCTATCTAAGCTGCTTAAATTAACTCTAAGTCCTCATTGCCCTACCTCTCACAGGAGTATGAACTTTTCCATATGATGATATTTCTTGTGATCCATCCAAACATGGTCAGAAAAAAAGACAGTATGGTCAGGAACAAAGGAAAGTCAGTTATAAAAGCACTAATGGGAAAAGAAATAAACTAACAATAGGAAGACTCCTTTCCTACTTAGAACAAGTGCTGCATTCTAAGAATGACTATGTTTACTTTTTATCTGAATTATTCTAAATAACTGGCCACTCACACTCTGTCTTTGAACGTGCCCTTAGTTGGGATTTAAGAAAGTAAAGAGATTAAGTGTGGACATATTTACAGAGAAGAATAGATTTCAACATGATAACTAAGAGGAACCATAAAAAGATGAATGTTGAATTCATTTTAAATGTTGTATTTTGAGACTTCATAGATCCTTTTTTCTACCTATGAAAAGTCTTTAAAGAGAAAAACTTCTCAGTCTTAAGGATCAAAGAGTAGTAATTCATATCTTGAATCTTCTGCATGTTTTTTATTTGATTTTCAACATAAAATTAATATATTTAAAATGAACTGTGCTTCCATTCACAAAAGTACTTAGTGCGGTGTTGATCTGTTGATGACGCTAGGAGAATATTCATTCCTTCCTGGACATGCTCCTCTTTGAGTAGGAGACTAACAGAGAAGAGAATGTGAATTCTTAGAAATGTCACTATAGTTTCTAATACAACTGCCTACGAAGAAGGGCTAATATTCCATAAGTAAGGAACTAGCTTATGTGTCAGTTCTAGGTTATATATTTGCCCAGAATAAAAATTGTTTTCAAGCACCTTGGTTTTTTATACTGATGCTCAATATTTTCATCTCTGGATGCAGATAGGTAACCAGTTATACTTTTTCCCCACTTAGGCAAAACTTTGCAAATGTTGCCATTAATTACTGGTATATGACATGCACAGATTTTAGTGTTTCTATAAATGGAGAAAATAAATTCAAGTTTAGAAATTTTATGTCTAAAACGTAGACTCCTAAATTTGTGCTGCTTTTACCTGCACAGTTTTTCATTATACTAACAAAATTCAAAGTTTCCTAATGATAATAGTCTCCATGGCACCTGGTTGGGATGCTTACATAAGCATTATGATGATGATTTAGCCCAATGGGGAGATACATAAAATATGACACCAAAAGGGATAATTCTCATAGAGAGATGCTCTTGATATGGGGCTGTACTGGGTATCAAATCTTGTATTAATCTAAAACATATTGCCAGAAAAAGGCATAGCTCATGCATGTGAAAATATGATCTAAGGAAGCATGAGAGAAAGGGACTAAAATATTATGTTGTTTCTATGTTAACATCAGAGGTGAATTTTTCCTTGCTACTCTTTGTTCTCTGTCCTTCCAGTCTGTAGGGGTGAATATTCCTCATTTAGGGACCAATTGAAGCTTTCTCGCTATTTATAAGACTCTATAGATAGTTTACTCTGAGAATTTGCTCTTGAGCTAATTAAATATTTGGGGAAGTTAAAGTAGGCCTTGTTCTTAGGGAGATGTTTTCTTCCCTTCTCACCTAAATTTACCAGTTTTACCAATTCATCACACACTTAGGGACAAAGTCGATCCATATACTTTAGTAAAAACTCTTCCATATATTCAGGAAGTTCATTATCAAGTCACTAGCAGAACAAATATTTATTTACTTTCTATTGGGCTCCATTTTCCCTAGGATAAGTATTCTCTCTCTGTGTGTGTGTGTGTGTGTGTGTGTGTGTGTGTGTGTGTGTGTGTGTGTGTGTATGGAGGGAGGGAGGGAGAATATATGTGACCCAACAGTCTTGGAGAAGATTTAAGTTAATAATTTCAGAAAGCAGTATGAAATAGAATTACATGAATATCATTAGAAAGTTTAACTTTACACAATTATTTTTATGCTTATTTAAATTTGTGTGTTTTTAATAATTTGCTTAAAGTTGGTGCATCAGGCAGGTTGTCATATCAAACTAAGTGGCACAAATATTAGAAATTAATATAGTACTTGTAAATTCTATACTGTGCATATGTGTGTTCAAAGATGAACTTATTGACCTTATATAGTCTCACTTTCTTGCCTTTTTAAATATACTAGGATCTTTTGCTCTAGGTGTGGTAAATTAGTATTTCACTGCCCACAATAAACTGTTTGAATGCCTGTGGTCTCCATAAAAATACAGAGTTCCCAAATTTGTTTTACTCACTGTTTTGTTGATCTCTGTATGTCTGTAGTATTCTATGTGTTGGTAGAACAAATGATTTCATGTGTTTCTACACTGTTGTGGAATATTATTTTAAGATGTGCTACATTAATTTATGCTATGGAATATGTGTTTAATGATGCAAAGATGTGGTGAATTCTTTTATGTTGTATTTGTTTAGCTCTGTGAAGCTGTGATACTTTGCTTGTGTAACATACCAGATTGGTCTAATAAAGAGCGGAGCAGTCAGTAGTTAGGCAGGAGAGGGATAGGTGGGATTAGCATGGATATAAAAAAATAGAAAGAGAAGAGAAGAGGAGTGAAAAATGGAGAGGGAGAGAAGGATTCCAGGAACCAGTCACCCAGTCACACAGCCAGACATGGAATAAGAAATAAAGGAAGATAGAGACAATAGGGAGAGGTAAAAGCCCAGAGTTGAAAGGCAGATGGGATAATTTAAGTTCAGAAAGCTGGCTAGAAACAAGCCAAGCTAAGGCCAGACATTCCTAAGTAAGAATAAGTCTCTGTATATACATTTGGGAACTGTGTGGTGGGCCCACAGGGAATAAAGGGCAAAAAGAAAAGAAAAGAAGACCAAAACAATAAAAAAATGCACTACATTTTTCTTATCTGGTATTTGTGTATATGTGCCTGTGTATGCATATTTGAAGTTGTGGAATTCTATGTGAGCATAAATGTAGGTGTGTGTACCTGTGTGTGCATATCTGTAAGAATATATGCCTCTGTGTGCATAAGGGAATATTCTAAAGTAGGTGTATGTGTGTGTAGGTGAGTTGTGGGCACACCTACAGAGGCCATTAGAAGACAAAGATTGTCTTGCTCTAACATTTGCAACATTATTCCCTTGATACAGAGTTCCTCACTAAACCTAAGGATGACTAGCAAGCGCCTATGTCCTCACCATCTCAGTCTTGCAACATGGGAGTCGCAGGCATACAAGGACATTCAAGACTTTTTTATGTAGACACTGGGGATTCAAACTCAGGTTCTTTTCATTGCACAGAAAGTTCTCTTACCCAATTTATCATCTCACCAGCTCCTACAAGGCTACTGTTTTTGATTCACCACATACTGATCTAGCATTTTTATGGTCAGAACTTGCCAGTTTATCTCCTCATATTACTTACTTTCAAATCTAATCTGACCTATGCCATCTATAATTATACTGTATATATTACTCCTTTGTCTTCTTTTTTCTACTTTTGTTTCAGGACAAGGCTGAATTCTGTTGCCTATGGTGGCCTAGAAATCACTATGTAGCTTAGGATGGCTGCTAAAGCCCCACACTCTTAATAACTGGAATTATAAACATGTAATACTACATAAGGCTATCAAAATTTCTTCTAGTAACTGCTGTGTCTTTTAATGACATCATTCCTTTACTATTGTTTAGGTGGTAGAATCAACCAGGCAATATTTATTGAGCTTTTAATATGGGTAAGCTCCATACATTATTGCTTCTATATATGATGTCCCAAAGAATTTATCACAAAGAAAAAAAAGAAAGAAACATTTCTCACAATAACATGGAAATGCAAATAAAGACAGAATTCACATTTTCTACTTTTCAGTGCATTTCATTTGTCCACAGCTCATCTTTGCATAGTATAAGGTTGTATGTCAATTAAGCTAATTTCCTCCATAGATTGTAAAAAATGATCTCTATCTTAGTTGAAGAACCACCAAGCTTCATGATCTAGAGGAAAAGACACAAAAACCAAAAACAACAGTAAGAATTAAAAAAAATTCTCTTAAAAATCTAAAGTCTTTGTTGCAGAGAGAGAAAAGGAATCAAAAGTACACACAGAATGCCTCTTATCCCACAGGTTTGTCAGAAGTTCACATGCATACCCAGCCTCCTAAAAAATGAACAGAAGCCAGACAAAATGTTTTATTTAACCAGTATTTTGCAATGAAAGGAATACTAAAATAAGGCAAATTATAAATAAGATGGCTTTTAAATTGCTAATGTAAAAGATGATTCAAAGCTGTGGTGGCTCCAATGACACTAAGAAGAAATAAGAATTTGTACACTTCTGGGGGAATTATGCTCCAGAATCTACAAAATAAAATAAAAATTACTATAAAGTACACATGGAAGCCATAATTGCCTGTGTGTAGTTACTTAATTCAAAGAAGCACCTTTGAGACATCTATGTGAATATTGTGTGTTGACATTGACAGAATATGAATAGTTACAGTTTATTACATTTCTCATGCTAAACTACTTTGTGATATTTGTTCAATTTTCTCTATGCTGGAGGGGTATAAACATTCCCAATGTACACTGGGCCTATTAGGGAGAAATCAAAGTATATTATATGAAAAAATCCATTTGTAATAAAAGTAAAATAGAAAAAAATACCAAAAAGTGCTTTTGGTCTACAGAATTCATTCTAAGATTTCATCCTAAAAGAGTTAATCACATAACTGGCAAAGGTGTGCAAAAGTGATGAATTTAAAAATAACAGCCTAATGCTATCCTTTAGTGAACTGGACCATAGTTAGAAGGCACTGACAACAGTGTTCTGGTGCAGACCATTATATGGCACATGCTGAGTGGAAAAAAGATGCTTAAGTTGCTTTTCATAAAAAAAAAATTAAGAAAAAAACCCAGCTAAAACATAATACAAACAACAGTGATTTTTTTATAGCACACCACGTTATTTTTATTATTTTTAATCTTATTTCTGTTGCTTGTGTTTTCAAATTTTTCTACAAGGGGTATGTATTAATTATGCAATAGAAACATCCTAAGATTCTTTGAAATCATATTTTACCAAAATTATTATGGCTATGATTGAAATGGAAATCAAACTCATTTTCACTTTCTCTTCATACGTTCCCTGAATACTAGACTCATGGACAGAACTATAAATCTTTCATCTCTGTGGCTTGTTCTCATTTAACTGGGCAGCAAACAAAGACAGAAGAGAATTAACTACAAAATACCACAGTTTTCTTTGTACGCTCCAGTATTTCACATGCACTAAGCAATTACTTCCAAATATTTAGACTTGATTTCAAGACTGACTAGGGAGTATGACCTTGGACAGATCACTGCTCTTGGGCAATTCATGTTCTTGCCTCATTTGAAATTGTGACTAAAGACATAAAACACATCCTTATGGGTCCTTTGATGAATTGGGTGAAAATCGTACTGAAAAGATTTTATAAGGCAGTGAAAGAACTGGCAGAATGAGAAGGATTATCCCCTGTCTTTTTCCACCCTTGTCGTTTTCTTATCCATTATGCATTCCTTGTATTCTCAGGGATGTCATTAAGTCTGGCAGTTTCAAAGTACATGCATCTCAATGGGCTCAGTGCACTGACTATTTATCTGTACAAACAACACCATTCCAGATAGTAATAGCTTGAGGTGGACACACATGTTGAAGAGCAACCTAGTGTTCTTTCTTTATCCCCGCTGATCCAGCTTTAAAGGTGGGACTACAGAATAGAGTAAGATGAAATGAAATAAAAGGCTGATTTGTACTAAGAGGGTTTTCCTCTTATGTCTCTAAAGATGCTTAGAAAGACTTTCGGCAAACAATAGTGCTTATTTATACTGCATAACAGAAGTAAACACTCAAGGAGAAAGTGACTTGATACTTTTACTCAGCATGATCTAAACCATTATCTCTTATTTTCTATGGAAAATGGTCTCTGCCGAGAAATTTGGTAACTCAGTAGGCTATTAATAGGATGTGGAATGTGATTATTCCTTTTGGATTACTTCAATATGTAATTACTTTTAGGAGCCGGCAGAAAGTAACTCTATTAAATGATAATTATAGGACTGCATTTGCTTTGAGATTCTGTAATAGCACTAAACATGCAAGTTTTCATTAACTGTTTGCCATAGTTAATAAAGTAATTTTTCTTAAGAAGTAGCAATTCTCTACAAAAGTATAGCTCAATAGTAAGATTAGTCTCCTGAAAGAGAAGGTAGTGGAGATGGATTGTGTAGTTGGCTGGCTTGTCAGTGGTAAAATAATCTCTGTGAAATTATAGAAGGCATCCACAGAGTACCGTGGTAAAATAAAATACGTACAAACCTCCTGAGAACAATATGACACAGTTTAGTGTTTACAGAGGTTAATGGAGACAAAATATGATCACACACACACACACACACACACACACACACACACACAAAGCAGGTGATGAAGAAGAAGCCTGGAAGAGCCTGCTGCGTGCAGAAAACATGCTGTAAATGTAGAACTTGTTGGGAATAGAGTAAAGCTTTAGATGTCAAATGTAATTTGGGGATTATATGAACATACAGGTGTTTCCTGGACAACTGATCAAGTCTCCTCACTACTGACGAAGGTAAGTGAAAACTAAACTAATATTAACCCTGAAAATGGGAAAACAAAACAAGTTATCAATCCAAAGTAGTATTGGTAACTAGTTTGGGAAGATGACAACTTCTACCAATTAAGGCAGGGATTCTCTTGTGCTAAAATACAGACACACCAATACCTCAGAAATCCTTAAGCAAATTTTATGTAGATATATCTCAGCTTAGCAAAGAACATCTTGATTAAGTTCTCACCTGCACTCCTGTCTCCTCTAATGGAGAAACATCATGACAAAAGTAAGTTCCTATATTACTCCTCTCTGTACCAACTGAAGGAATGTGCCCTTGACTGAAAACTGCTTTCTACCCTAGTGTTTTCTCGAATCCCCCCACCTCTCTCTCCCTCCTTTCTTCTCTGCCACCCTCCTTCCACCACATCTCCTTTACTGTGGTTTGAACCTTTGACCTTAGTGTCTCTTGCAGACCATGAAAACACTTGCTTATAGCTATATCTTGAGCCCTTTTAGTTAACTTTGTTTTGGAGACAGATTTTGCTACATGGTGTAAGCTTTCCTTAAACACATTGTGGTTTAGGAAGTCCTTGAATTTGCAATCCTCCTGTCTCAACTTCAGAGCAGAGGAAATTATAGGCCTGGGTCACAGGTTCTGAGGGAGCTTACACATAAAGCCTTGAAGTTGAAGGTTATGGACAAAGTAAAAGGATGCAAAATAAAGAATGAGTTTTGAAATGATAAGGGTTATTTTAAAAGTGAACCCTGGGTTTATTCTGAGATTTTTAAAAAACCCGTATCTGCAGAGTACTTGCCTTGCTTTGTCTGAGAAAAGCCCCTGTCATAATACCTCAGGAATTTTCACTTGTAGTCTCATTTTGATATATGCTTAATTTATTCGTCCCATAATTAAATGTTATAGTCAGTTCACAAAATATTAAAATATGTCAAATCATATTCCCTCCAGATCCTTGGAGAATAAGGAATGTTGCTCTGCTTTAATAGTAGTTCAGGAAGAAGTTAAAACTGTAACATCAACCTGGACTACACAGTTTAAAACTCCACTCTCCTTTCTAAGTGCATGGTTAAGTTTAGGCAAATTGTTTAATGGTTTTGTGCTTTATTGTACTCATCTGTCTAATGGGAATGCTAATAATAACTACTGCCTGTGGTGTAATGAAGATTAAGTTAGCAGAGTAGGTGAGGAATCTCAACATAGTGCTTGGATCATAGCTACTGACATTATGGTACTGATGTCAAACATAACCGTGATAGGGAAATAACTGGTCTTACGTTAGCTTAAGACCTCTGCATTTAGTCTTTTTTCAGCCATAAGGAAAGAAGCAAATGAATACTTTGCATGGATAGCATGGAGCTATTAAAACATCTATATCAAGAAGGCCTACCTCTGTTTCATATCCTGGTTGGATGCACTGGCCTCCCCCTTTCATAGGCTGGCACTGTCACAGATTTACATGTACAATTTCCACTGAGAAGTAATACTAAGAGCATAGCAGAAAGGTCTGTGAATCAAAATGATCCCTTATTCTTCACCCCTGACTCTGCCACTGACTTTGTCCATAGTCTGTGTCACTTCAGGCCTCTACAATCAAAGCATCACCTTCTAACACACTGCTAGTCTGTAGCCTCCTTGACTGACAGAATGAAAATCAAGAATTACATTGAATACTATCATGTGTTTTTGCAGTGGATAAACAGTGTTTCATTTTAACCCCTTCTGGCAATTCCACTGTCAGCACTTTTAGATATGGAGCTCCTCTGCCAGCCACACTGCATTGCAACTATGTTTGGAGGGAAAAGTCTGTATGTGAAAGATTATGCTGCCTTACAAAGTTGAACTAATCTCTTTTAATGCTTTACTTGATATCAATATTCATAAAGCCATGCTTCCCCTGAAGGGTTTATCAATCTCTTTTTAAAAATTAGATAAATGGAGTTGTTTGCATATTGACCCTGTAAGCTTTCCCACTTGGTTTCCCTGCTGCTTCATGAATATCAAAGCCAACACACACACACACACACACACACACACACACACATACACACACACAGACACACGAGATGAAAACAAAATTAGACTCTCTTATTCATATGTAGCAAATGAACCCATGTGTCAAAACAGAAGTGGCGTTATTATTCCTTGTTTATTCTTCAACAGGAAGGTATTACTAGATTAGTGAAAATGTTTGTGCTGTGTGATAGGAAAGGCATTTGTTTTCCATTTCTACTTCTCTGAATGCATAGGAATTTTAGTACAAACCTCTGTTGTCTCTGACTGTGAAATTTGGGTTGTGAATGATTTCAGGGGGTAGACTGAAGATAAATCTTGGTCCATTGGCTGTGTCATCCTGGTCATCTGCACTAACTGTAACTATTGGCTGAAAGAGAAGGGTGGTTTGTAAGTAAATCATGATGATGATACCAGCATACCATTTATTTAGAATTTCCTATCAGGATACAAATTCTGATCTTAAAATCTCTTAAAAGCAGTACTAAGACATGAAAACTTTTTGGACACAGGGAGGTAAATCGAGTTGATGACTATAGAACAAAACAACAACAACAACAAAAGTCTCATTCAAATACATTGCATATATGTCCAGGACACGGGAAGCCAGCCTTACCTGGTTGGAGAGTGGCTTGGTCTGATCACTCTCACAAATAAAACCTTCATGAGGGGCAGTCAATTTAGGAGCATTGTCATTGACATCAAGGATCTTGATGGCCACTGGGACTTTGGCTTCCTGATGTCTGTTGTCTGGGAAAAGAGAATTCAGTCAGTAAACACATACCAAGTAAGAGCATATAATGGTCCATGGTAATTATCAGAGTGAGAAAGCTTCTTCCACCTAAATATGCAGTTCTAAGAAATGAATAACTATGGTTTGACTAGGAAATGTTCAGGCATATTCATATATTTAGGAGCTGGTTTCCAGTTCATGGGCTTTGGGAAGAGATTTGATACAGAGGGCTCTGATGTAATTAAGTATCTATTGATGGTTTTGTAGTATTGTGGTATTACTAGGAAAATAATCAAAAGTAGAGGGTAGGGCCGAGTTAAAGGAATGATATCGCTGGAGCATGCTTCATGTCTACGAAGACATAAGCATCTTTGCTCTGTAGCATTTTGTCCAAAACAATGCTCCACCTCCTTACAGGCTGGCAGAAATGGAGCAAGCAGACCCTGGGATGAAACTCAGAATCTGTGGGCACAAATAAATTGCTCTTCCCTTTAAGTTATTCTCCTGAGTACTTCTTACAGAACTGGGGGGAAAAAACTAACATATGCATTTTTGGCACAAAAGCTATCTCAGCACTGAAGTGTGTGAAATTCTGTGGAAGGATCCCTGGAATAAATGTCATGCCTAAACCAGGAAATACTAAACCATCTTCCTACATTGGCTGAGAATAATTCTAAAGGTTGTTAATTGAAACCACTCCTTCTAGAAAGTAGTTTATTTTCATGACTCTCCAAGTGGGGTCCCACGTGTAGCATCAGATGCACGTGGCCATTTCTTGCTCATACAAATTACTGGACTCTAAGGCAGATCTGTTGAATCTGGGGCTCTAAATATGGGTTTAAAAACCTTTGTTAGGATGTGCCAGCTATGAGATGTGTTGAGAGAGCTTGATATATGATCAACTTCAAGAATTAGTAGTTAATATCTATGCAAAGTGCCTCAAGTTTGACATGTTGATCATAAGTTTTAAACTTCTAAAGGATGTAAGCCATCTATTATGGCTGTTTTCTGTAGTCAAGTTGACTACACCTAGAATTAACTAAAACCCAAATGAGTAGGCACACTTGTGAGGGATTTTTTTCCTAATTAAATCATCTGAAGTGGGAAGACATACTGTTAAACTGGATCTGCGAGGTAGAAATATAAACCTTTAATCCAGATCTTCTGAGTGGAACGAGCCAACTTTAATTTGGACCACACATTTTGTTAGTGGCATTAAAAGAAAGAACATTAAAGAAGAAAGCTCTCTCTCTCATTGCCTGATTGCCATCACCCTTCCTTGCAAGGTCAATCCTTCACTGGCATTAGAGCCTACTTCAGGATTTCAGTACATTTGGGAGAAAAACTAAAACATCCAGCCTGGGGAACCACACAGCTACTGGATCCTTGAGAACCCTACTAGTAAACCATCTTTCTGAGTGTACACACAAAAAAGAAAATGAAATCATTTCTACTTGGCTGATTATCTTTCTTACATGCACAACTACAAACAAAATTTAAAGCCTGTAAAAATAATTATAATAATAACTTCAAGGACCTGGGTAAAACCAAATAAAACTGCCCCAAAAGTAAATAGACAGATAAATAAACATATAATAAAATGTAACAGCAAAATGACTCCTAAAGATATTCTGATATAATCTTAGATCAATGCCTTGATTAATCATCATCAGAAAGTTCCTCCTACAGCAGATGGGAACACATACAGAGATACACAGTCAGGGAGTATGCAGAGAGTGAAAGAGATTGGCATACTTATCTCTAAAAGGTATTTCTACATCAAATACCTCCCCTAGGCCTCAGGAAATCCTGCAGAAGAGGCATGGGGAAGGTAAGAACAAAAGGGGTTGGAAGACACTGCACAAGGCCATCTAAATTAACCTGAAAGTTCCTATGAACTCCTAAAGACTGACACAGCATGCACAAGGCTGGCAAGGGATTGAATTAGGTCTGCACTTCAGAGGTCTGATTATATATATGGCCTTCAGGTTGGTGAGTTTATGAGGTTCCTAAGCATCTGATACTTGTGCCTTATCTGGGACTCTTTTTCTTCTGTTGGTTTGTTTTGTCCAATTCAAATGTGTTACATTTTGTTTTATCTTACTATATCTTATTTTGTTATTATCCCTTAGAAGCCCATTTGTTTACTAATGAGAGACAGAAAGCAGGTGGATCCCAATGGGAGGGTAGGTGGAGAGGAACTGAGAACAGTAGAGGGAGGGGAAATGTAATGAAGATATATTATGTGAAGGAAAAAGATCTATTTTCAATAAAAGGAATTTAAAAAATCCAACACAAAACAAAACTCCATCTCATCAATTTTATTTTATAGCCTAGAGTCAGAAGAATTAATATTTAGCATAGTCAAATCAAAGCCCTTAGGAGAATACTTACGGATTTCTGCTGCAAAGACAGAGATGTTGAGCCAGGCAGTTTCCTCTCTATCTAGAGGTTTTGTGGTTTTAATAAAACCATCCTCTGGATTAATTGTGAAAAACCTGTCGAGGTCAGTATGACGATCAATTGAATACCTAAGCAGAATGCAAATCAGGCAATTAGATCCAGACATTCAGAGAAGCTTAATATTTGAATATTTTCTCCATGTTATATTTACAGCAACTTTTTTTCCATCTGATCTCATGACTTAGGCTTTCTTTTTAATCAAATTTAGTTTTCAAAATTTACACATGAATCTTTTATAGAAATCATTATGGTACATTGGACTTCTCATTCAGTACAATGAATGAAAATGCTGTTTAGCATATTTGATTGAGAAGTATAATAATGTGTTGCATATTTCTCCATATTTACTATAATCACACACCTTCTGAATATTTATGAAATTGCATTTGGGGAATGAATTTGTCTCACTCCAAAACTACTCAGAAAGTCACAAATGAATCAAACCTTTGCCAAATTTTGGCATATGAAATATTAAATCGTTTCATCTTTATTTAAATTCGTCATCCACTATCATTTATAGCTCTAAACATCAGGAGTTTCCATGTTTGAAGAAAAGTGCTTGCTGAATTTTGCATGGTTTTTGTTTTATTTTGTTTTTCTGGTTATAGAGACCTATAGGCAATTTGGTTCTGAAGATGCAGAAACAAACAAGGTTTATCCGGTTACTTGTAGGTCATCCTCTTCACAGCTTACTGATTGTTCTGTGCTTCACAGTAAAGAACAAAGTTTACCAAGTCCTACTCACTCAGAATTTGTCTCTTTCAAACAACCAAAAGCAGATTCTCGGATCATTATGAACGATGTCTTTACTGTAAGGTCAGGTGGGAGTTGGGAAAAGAAACTTTTCTGAGATTGAGGTGAAGTAAAATAAGTGAGTCAGATTTGGCACATACTAGCAACTTAGTTTTAATAGGTCTGCTAAGCTATAAGGTTCCCAATAATTCATTTCATCACATCAACTCCAAAGTGGAGAAGAATAAAGATGGATTTTGTTCACACCAACACCATTCTGGACTTTATTAATGGGTAGTTTTCAGTTCTTAGAAGTTTTGTGCATGTTGTTCTAAAATGTATAGAATATGTGTGTTTTAAGGCATTAGTGATAGTTAAAAATGTAAAAATATCTGAAGAAGTGAGGATTCTGGATATCAGTGAGCCTACTCTCCTAAATTTATGCAGGACTGGATTGGAAAATGGTATATGTCTTGTTTCTGAGGAACCAATGTTGTAAACCAGATCTTCCAATTTCAGATCTTTGATATCATTCCCAGGAAACACAATAACTCATGGAGCAATACTTTACAGTATTCAAAACATGACATTATTTATAATGGACTTGAATCTACATCCCCTTATGAGGAATGAATAGTTTTCCTTTCTCCTGGGGATGAACTTCAACTTGATCTTGCTTATCATCAAAGCTAACAGAATTACTGCAGTGGAGTCCTCAGCAAATAATTCTATGTACAATAACAGAATTTTTTAAACATAAAGCATCTTCCTCCTTAAGTAACATGGAAGTGCATATACAATAAGGATAGTGATAAAGCAAGACATAATTCTAAATATATAAAATGGTCCATGGATGTGGATTTTGCAAACTCTTAACTCCAGTCATGCCCCACTGCACATACTCTGAGTAATATAATTTTGAAAAAGTCACTTAAAATGGCTTAACTTCAGCATATTTATCTTTGCACCAGAACAGCAATTGCAGCTAACTTTATATTCTATGTGAGAATTAAGTGAAGAATCCTCACACTTCAACCATATTAAGCAATGCAACCCAAAGGAGCTGTTGTTTTAGTTTTTGCTCCTGCTCCTGTTGTACTGAGGAGAAAATATGAAAGCTCTTGAATGTCATAGCGTAACCTGCACCCTGAAGCCAATGAGAAACCATGAAGACCTTTCAGCAAAGAAGCAAATAAAGGAAATCAAGACAACTGAGTAATCATTGAGGTAGTATAGAATATGGTCAGAAAAAGAGAGAGCAGAGAATATTTAGTAATTAGCTGTAGTTTTCAAAATAAGTGAAATAGCCACTGAAAGGCCCGAGGGATTGAAAACTATGTGATGAATTGAGTAGCAGTAGGAGTCAGCTGAGAATTAGATATCTGGTTTGGCTAGGAGAATTTTCTAACTTTCTGGCCTGACTGTCTGGGAAATCACAACATAATGGGAAGACACAACATTAAGTTAATTTATCAGAAAATAGATGTTGAAGTCAATGATGAAAAGGTCGTACATTAAGAGAGCAAAGATTCAATTCTATGATGTGCAGAGATAAAATCAGCTACGTGATGTGATGACTGTGTGGGGGGTGCATTTGTGCATATACAGATGCATGTGTGCAGCGAAAGATACTTGTATGTACATGTGCATTTAAAGGCTCAAGGAAAACCTTGATTATTAGTGTTAAAGAACTGTACGCCACATTTTTGGAGACAGAGTCTGTCACAAGCCTGGGACTCTCCAAATAAGTGTGAGGCTTATGGCCACAAAATCCTGGGATCCATATTTATCCTCTTCTTCAGCACTAGAATTGTAAGTGTGATCTACCATAATCAGCATTTTCATGTGGGTTCCTGGGATCAAACTCAGATCATCTTGATTCTCAAGTAAGGACTTTACTAAGATGTACCTATGCTCTTCTTTCTATTTATAAGGCACAGTAAATATGAACTCACAGATATCTCTATTGTGTTTATACTTAACTGAAACCTGAACTCATGGCATTGTTGATGTTTTCCAGACTGTCTATCGCTGATCTATACCTTTAGGAAGAATAAGTCAGTGAAGAAAAAACAATAAAGGATAAAATTAACAGTATATATTCTCATAAATTCAGAATTAGAATCATGAGAAAAATCTACCCAGAGGCAAAGAATATGAAACACCAACTCAATTCAATCACAGCATGAGTGAAATCCTATAGGAGACTGGACACTGAGCATTAGGGAGCTTCTAGTGGTTGGAAAATGATCAAATACTAAACAAGACAACAGGTAAGAGGCAAAAAAAAGAGTGAGTATGAAGGAAACCATGGAGAGAGAGTATTTCAGTAAAAAAAATAATGCTACCCAAAAATGTGTTAAATGCTATATAGAATCTGAAAAGGAGATCTGCAAATATGCAAGAGGCTCAGAGTTTTGGTCCTGTGTTGTGAGATGCCTCAGTCAGTAAAGAGCTTGTTACATGTGCAAGATGACCTGAATTCAGATTCTCATCACCCACATAAAGGCCTATCTCATTTGCAACACCAGCGCTGGTGTCACAAAGACAGACAGATCCTTAGTGTTTACTATCCAGCCAGTCTAACCAATTGGTGGTGAGCTGTATGTTCAGTAAGAAGCTCTACCTCAAAAGAAATTAATGTGGAGATTAACAGATGTGAAAAGACAGCATTGACTTCTGACATGTAGATGTACATGTGAACAGGTATATGTGTGTCCTCATGTGAAAACACATACACATATACCCAATACATGCACACACACACACATACACACACACACACACACTTTTCAAGTGTCTAAATGATAGTATAAAGTTTTAACTTCATGTCCAAATTAACAAATACGTGTAACGATGGAGAGTATAATAAGTACATTAGATGGTAAGAAGTACACTCAGTATAAACTTGTGAGTCTACCTGTAATTTGTCTGACATTTCTAGGAACAGAAATACAAGTTGATAGGGCAGGCACTTGGCTCTACTTGGTTATTGAGAATCTGTGGACAATTATAGACTTGGAAATTGCCTCTATGCATGGAAAAGCTACCACTGAACACATGACCCAAATAAATGGATTGCAGACTTGGATTCCTGGAAACAACAAATTGCAGGGAAAATAAGCAGTTGCTCCATGTGTCTTTATATTGTTGTTCCTCTAAAAGGTTCCCATAACACCTTGGTGTTCTAATTCAAAAATTAAATGTATTAACTCATAACTATGAACATCTTGAAGCAGTTGGAGGCACAAGAAGGGTCTCCTGCCATTACATAAATAGCTTCTTTTACCAAAGGAATGGTATAGTCAGATATTTCTGAAGAAACATTTCTGTTACCAGTTGCCTATGTCTAAGAGAGCAAATTGAAGCTAAAATAGAATCTGGATTAAAATTCAGTCTCCAAACTGATTACATGAACTTAAACAAGTCATATTATCCCCCTGAGGGTAGTATTCCCATCCACTGACTGCTGAAGTAGTCACAGTCTCAAAGATTGCCATAAACATATTGTTCTGATTCTAAGAAAAGGTTCAAAATGGTATCTCTCATTTGTACGGATAATATTCTAAAATATAATAAATAATCTTCTATCCTGCTGTGTTTTTTTTCATTTTTGTACATGGGTTAAAAGAATTCTCATATATCCCAGAACTGACTCAAATTTAGCATGTATCCCAGGATGACCATGTACATCTGATCCTTCAGCTGCCACCTCAGAAGAACTAGGAATGGGATTACATATCCACACCTCTGTATCCCATGTATTCTCTGCTTTCAGATCAAACTGAGGGCCTCAGGTATGCTAGGCACCAGTTCTACCAACTGAGCTACACTCTGAGTCCCAAATTTCCTTTATCAATTGTATATATATATCATGGCCTATTGCAAATTTCTTCATATTTATATCTCCATATTTCTAGGGATCTTTTCTGATGTTACAGCTTTGTAGAGAATTGGTTTTATTTTTACGTAACAATTGTAGATATGAATGGTTTTGATGGTGCTTCAGTAAATGTTTACATTTTGCAATTTGCAAATCCAAGCCATTAGCATTTCTTCAACTTAAACATCAAATCTTCCATTACAAATATTCAAACCCCTTTAAAGATACTTAAAGTATTCAGATTGTGTATATTAGTGATGGTCATGTTACTGTGCAACAAGACACCAGAGTTTATTCTATCTAACTGTAATGTTAAGTCTATGATCTTCTCCCCATGACACCCAGAAATCAATTTGAAATAAATCAAGGCTCTAAATAAAAATCTAAATGTATAAAATTTCTTCAAAGGAAATATAGGTGAAATGCGTTTGAGTTTGTGTAAAATAGGCCACAATTTCTTATATCTCACAAGTAAAGTGGAAACAACCAAGAAGGAAAAAAATTGGAGTTAATTGTAACTAAAAAGTTTTACCTCTAAAAAAAACAGTCAGAAAAAATTGGAGACAACTCACAAAATGAGAGAAAACATTTGCAAAGCAATGACAGCCAGAATATATAATGAACTTTTATAATTCAATAATAAAAAGATGGCTAGTACAACTACATAATGGGAAAATGATTTAAATAGTTTTTTTTCTAGAAGATAGAATCTGTCAATATGTGGATGTCTACATGGGTACTTCTTACTAGTAGCTATCAGAGAATCAAGTATGTTGTGTGGTTTGGAATTTACTGAGATGCCTAAAATCAAAAGATATAAGCCACACAGCTGACACCATAGAAAGTGCTGCAAGAATTTTGGAAACATTTGGCAGCTTCTAAGAAATTTAAACCCAGGTTTGCTACATGACTAAGCAATTATGATTCTAGTTGCATAAGCAAGAGAAAGACCATACATATATCAATGATTTGTGGAACAGTGTAAACAGAAGCTGTATCTGTAAAACCCAACAGTTAAGAGTACATGAATATCCATACAAATGACACATAGATAAACAAGATACTGTGTATTCATAGGTAGAATATTATTTGGCTATAAAAATGAATTTTAGGTATAATCTACAGCAGTGATGATTATCCAAAAGAAACTATTTGGAAACATCCAGCTATTGAATATTGCATGTGGTATTTAGCTTACTTGAATGAAATTAAATACCTTTGAAAGGATGTGAACTATACTTTACAAAATGGAATTTTTCCATAGCGACATAAGCAATGAAGCAAAGGATGAAAGGATGGATATGAGAAAGGAGAGGGAAAATGAAGAATAAGAGAAAATGGTATTTGGATTAGGCTAAAAGGATGAAGCTTAGATGAGACATTCACAACTCCATTTGAGATGAGCATAATAAGCCCATCTTATTATAATACAACTTGGAAAGAAGAGATTTCATTTTGAAGACAGAACATATAAAGGTAAGAAATAAGAGTTAGCACACTTGCTTTAGAGAATGATTAAACTCAGTCTGGAGATTGAAGAAGATCTTTAAATAAGACACTATATTATTATGGAAGGGGAAATTAATGAGAGATTATTCAGTCACAGAGCTTTTCTGCTTTTTAATGATATGATATTTCCATGTGCATTTTATATGAGTCATTTTGGCTATAAGGTTAATATCATTATGATACTTGAGAGCTTGGAGGCAGAGAGATCCTGAGGAGTCAGATAGAAGAAAGCAGATAAAGGAGGGCTATGTAGAGAACAGAAGAGTATCCAGCCTATGGAACTGGACCACACAATTTCACATTTGCTCCCCACAAATGTCTTACATCGATGGTTAAAATCACTTCTCAGCCTCATTCTCATTACAAAACCCTCTTGCTCATCAGCCTCATGGCTCAGTAGATGTAGTAAATTGTGGGAAGGACAGGCAGAAGTATGCATATTTTTTCTGATTAACAGAAATAAAATCATGTGATGGTCATTCTGTTACCTTTTCAAAATGCTAAGTGGGGATTAGAGATTCCCTATGACTTGTAACAGCTCATAAATCCTGCTCATTGAATCCTGCAGAACCCCAATTTGTGATCAGTTTAAGAGACTACAGTTCATAAAACAACAATGTCTAGAAGATAAATTTGATCAAAAATCTAATACATGTACTAAAATCATTGGTGCTTAAGAAGATACTAAACACAAGATAATTACTATAATTATTTCATAGTAATTCTTTATAATATATCCCAATTTCAGAAGACAGGTAGACCTGGCTATTGGTTATATCAGCTAGTATAAATTAGGAAACTGTTTCAGAGAGAAGTAACTAATGTAGCTTGAAGCCTAACCAAAATGTTAGTAAGAGAAATGAAGTGGACTCATATCTGGTACATCTTAACTTTGCTTTAAATCTGTTGAACCTTGATATATTTAAAATGTTTCTTGGTTTTTGGTATATTTTCTTTGGTTCCTATAAGACTCTTTCCAAACTTCCTGCCTCAAACGTTTCCAATGTGTGTTCTTAAGATAAATTCACATGTACCTTATTGGGCTGTTGGCAGCATCCGGGTCTTTGGCATGTACTCTCCCAACCACAGTGCCAGCAGCTGCATTTTCTTGGACTTCATGGATATAACTTGGAGCCAAGAACATGGGAGGCTCATCAGCATCTTCTACTGCAATCTTGACTGTCACAGTATCCTTGAAAGGTCCGTTGCTGATGAACTTCGGATCAATGTGTACATTGGCGGCCTCTACCTTCAAGCTATATGCTCTTTTGGTTTCAAAATCTACAGGCTGGTAAGAATGAAGAGAAGATTGACAACCAGTTCCTTGAAAGAATAATGGAAGATAAAGACCTGATTGGTTCACTGAGTGAAGCAGACAGTTTCTCAAAGAGAGAAAATCTATGCTGATTCAATATCCATGATTTCAAAATTCAGAGTAATCAGTTATTGAAACACAGTTCAAGGTGTACATGATGCAAAGAACATGGTAAATAAAGAAGCACCTACCCACATAAAGTAAACCTCATTCTCTGAAGCCACCAAGAAGGGAGATAATAACCATCTGGTGCCCACTCTGTGAAATGCTACAAATCTGGTAATAAAAAGACACATTGTTCCTTGGCCAAAAGACTTGGGTGTGTTTTACTGAACAACTGCCTTATCCTGCTTGCTGCACAAATACACAACAACTTAGCTTCATCATACTGAACATTTCTTTTGCTTAGTTTTGAGTAGATTGTGTTTCCCAATCACTGTGACCTTATGAGCATATACATATAGTTATTTGTCATACATAGTTTATGGATAGATTTTTGTAGGTGGAAATGTTAGATAACAATAACTTACTCCCCCCCCATTTTTATGTGTATGTGTGTATGTTTGTGCATGTATTTTAAGCTGACATAGAAAGATTTCCTCCATCTTACACATGGACATGACACAAGGCTTCTCAACTGAACTCAGAGTTCATTTATACAATGCCAATAGTCTAGCTAGTCAGCCTGCTCCAAGATCCCTGTCTCTTCCTTCATAGCAGTAGAACTGCAAGCAGATTGTTCAACTAACCCCCTTTTTCTTATAGGTTCAGGGTATCTGAATACCTGTCTCCATGCCTAGTGTTAATGTACCAAGTTCTCTAACCACTGAGAAATCTTACTACTTACATATTGACATAATTTTGCTTCCTGAATGTCTCAGGGCTTTAAAAAATCATATCTCTTGTGCTTTTCCAGTCCTCCTTTTGAAAGATGTTCACTGCTTTCTAGTTAAAATGCAATGCCATACTTTTGTTCTGAGTCCATTCAATATTAGGTTACCTTTTTAGGAATAAGTGATTGACACTGAAGACAGTCTTTCGTTTTGGTCAGAACACATAAATGACAAATTGGTCCATTCACAGAATAACAAGTATAAGCAGTACATATTTTTGCACACGTAAGCAAAAAAAAAAAAAAAAGCTCACAGGTAGCATTTGAATGGACACTGTCATAGGGAGATTGATGGTGAGTGCCCTTTACTTCCATATAAAAAATACAGAGAGTTAGCAAAGGGTGAAAAGCAAAATTGTAGCACAAAAATAAGCTGTAGCATGTGAAAACAACTTTCTCAGCAGTATTCCAATGAGGCAGAGTCAACAAATATTTGGAACAAGCTTGAACTTTTGAGGTCGGCATCTGCCTTCCATGCAGTTGCCATTTGCCTAGTAAATACTTATTCAAAATGGACATACAGTCACAAGGCTTAGACTGACCCATTTCTGCACTGCTCCAAACCCAAGACCGTGCTCATTTCAGAAAGTTTAAACATATTCAACATCCTTGACTCTGTTACCTCCTACCTTCGTTTCCCTGCAATCATGGACCACTCCCTTTTCCTATTGCTGAACATGCCCTCTAATTATCCATTATTCTATCTTCCCAGGTGGGACCCAATAGCTCCTGGATCTGTGGATTTATTGTGAGAAGCAGAAATAAATATTTACCGATTGGCAATACAAAATGCTACAGTTTCTCAGAAATCTCTGTAATGACTAAACTGAATCACACATTGAAATACGATCATTCTGAGACCAGGTAATTTGTAATAAAAATGGTGAAATCTATTTCTGTTAATATTCCTAAAGCAAAACCTTTTAGAACAAAATGGAGATATATACCTAAGTACCCAGTTACATGTTACCTCTATAAATCCCTGTTTCTCTTGAGTAATATGTGGTCATGCTGCAGTTTAACTAATTTGCTTCTTTTAGATCATTCCATGCTATAATCTCCAAATATTTTCAATAGTTTGTCTCAAACATCTTTTTCCACTCTTGTAAGACTCTCCTAAGTGCCCTGGAAGTTAGCCCAGCTTCATTGCCTTGAGACATCCTGTTCAACAGCCCCAAACAGCCGTGGGTTCTCTTATCGCTGCCCTTTCCTACTAAAGGGGAACAGACCCAAGGAATCTACTGGCCCTTGTTGGGTTTTGGTCTCACAATACCTAGGAATGACTGCATCATGTAGTTATGTGCATCAATCATTTTACTGAATGAACAGCAGGGCTAATGACTGGATAACATTTAAGCATTTACTTACAATAATTCCCTTTCTCCTTCCAAGCAGGATTTGAGGTAGTTCCCCATGTGGACATTTATACTCATGTTATGAATAGTTGAAATAAAACTAAATGAGGCAACACACTGCATAAGCAATAAAATTCTTAATGCCCACCCCAGCTTACTAAACCTCACCTCTGAAAATTCTCCCTGAGGGATTTATTCAACAGAAAGTGCAAACAAACAATATTGAAAAATGCATAATGTTCGTTAGATATAATAGAAAGTTATATGTAAACTGGGTAAATGTACACATAGAACAACAAATCCAACTGTGAGATTTTATTAAGGAAATCACAGTCCATAGATAGGATGGGATGTAATGTAGTCATTAAAAATAATTATATGTGTTATATAACAGCATGTAAAGTGTTTATGATGTGACATTAAGTTAACAAATCAAATCACCCTATGACTGGAAGCAAGCAAATGTTATATATCCACATCTATGTGTACAAATACACAGACCAAAGAAAATTTTAAAAACGACATAACATTAATTACAACAAGGAGTGCTTCAACTGTCTTCTATTGCTGTCCCTATACTACCTCACAAGTTTATTTGGTTGAAAATGAACAGCTTAGAAGCTGTGCGGGCATTTATTTATAGTGGATGGGATTTCCACCTGGCTGAGGACACTGTAATGGACAGGAAGGTGTTTTCCTTACTAAGAGCACCAAGCCACCCAGAGGCTAATCTGTGTTTTACAGTGTTCTGCACATAACTCTACAGAGAGTGGTTAAATATTCAAAGCAGTTTTCTTCTTCTTTGCCAAGAAACTCTGATTTTAAAAATGAATCTATCAAATGACTGTACCACGTGGTTTTGTACATAGACCATTTTGACTATGAGCACCAAGTTAAAGATCTATTCCCATCCTTCCAAACATGACTGGAGGTAGTTCCCCAAATCTTCATGAATCCTGACATCTTATCCTCACTATTCAACAGTCATCCTTTTGAAAAACCCCCCTTTTATCCTAGCAACAGATTATCCCCTGTTACTACTGTGTCTGTCCTCTCTCAGTCTCTCCATTAGGACCGTTTGCTCTGAAACCAGTCTTTCCTGAGTCCTGTTCTTGCCTTCTTTTCTCCTTGTCAAACTGGGAAATTGCTGCTCAACTGTCAGGAATCAACTCAGAATGCATTCCTCTTGAAAGCCATTCCTGACCCTTAGGAATGATCTCACACATTTTACTGTAATTGAGTTTTCAAATGGGGACTGCTTTTCTCCCAGTCACTAGAAAGGTATTCGGTAAAAACTAGAGCAGTATTTTAACTATTATACAAATGGTGGGGTGAGAGAAAATACATGTCTATTAACCTGTACACAAAGACAGTCCTGGTTCTGTAAAATATCCTGCATTGTATAGAACATCCCCTACAACCATGATTTATCAAGCCAGAAACATCAATAATGTCAATGCTGAAGAAATTCCTCTCATCATAACCAAGTTTTAACTAAACTCCCCTGTTAATCTGTGATTCCCTGTGGCTAGCATTCAATTTCTTACATACTAGATTCCCAGATTTTACCCAAGCCTGCCTGAAAAATAATTAGAACTGATTAACTCAGAAGAAAATAAACAAGTGAATCAAGAAGTAGATGAAAATTTCATATTAAAGAAAATATTTAAAATATATGAATATTTCTATGATTTTCCATGTGTCTTTATATTATTAAATTTTATGTAATGTCTTCCAAAAGGACCCATATATTTAGTCTACTAATTTCACATTTGATTGCTTTTTCTGGTGGGCATTTGGAACTTCATGGTACAAGTTAAGGCAAATCTTCTCTTCCAAATTAAACAACAGCCCACATTGTTTTAAACTAAATGTCAGTACTTTGTAAAAGCTTGTCCTGATGCCTATAATAACAGTGAATTGGGGGAAAGTGCACAAATTAATCATATGCAGAGAGCTCATTTGTTATGTATGAGTTTCATGGGAGTGATTTAAATGTTTCAGGATTTTAAAGAACAGTATGTGTTTATGCCCTGAATACACTCAAAACAGGTGACAACCTTTGTATAATCAACTATCCAATTACTTGAACAACAAAGGATGGGAGGCAGGAATTGCTGATGTAAACTTTCACATGTCAGTGTCATACAAGAAGAATTGTAATATTAATTAACAAAGAAAGTTGACAGCTACACACAGTTCACAGAGCTACTTTTCAAAAGAGACCCCAGAAAGATCAGCTTTCCACCCTCCTGTGGCTGATAATTAGACAACTTTGGTCATGAAACTCATAGTCTGAAGTGGAAACTTTTTGCAAATATCTGAGCCTTACCTCAATTTCCATCTGAGATTTCATTGCTCATTCAGTATAGTCACCTACATTTTGTTAGTTCTCTGTCCCCTAAGCATTTTTCATCCACCCAATATGCATTATATTACAGTGAAATGTCAGCCACGCATGTTCCACCTGCTAAGAATGTTTCCCAGGGCCAACTTCTCCTCCTCTCCAGCTACTAATTTCTTTATTGGCTCTTCACTTTAATTTTTTCTCTAAATGTTATAATCCAATATTTTCTATCACACCAGAAGCTTAATAGCCATATTATAAAACCAAGTAGAAAATGAATGCTTGATTAAAACCAAGGTAATCCGCTCAACCAATTCACATTTAATACTCCATATATTGTGATGATGGAGAGGTGTTGATTTCTCAAGTGGTAAATCAGGAGGGAACTGCTTTTGAATGCCTTGTAATTGTTTCTTCACTTTAAAGCAAATCTTATCTGACTTTCTGTCTCAGTTGCTTTCAAAGGGTCTTAAGAGGAACATTGCTCCAATGCCATCTATATTTGAATTATACATGTATCTATGTGTCTGTGACTGAGTCTGTCTGAATCTCAATTTCAACAATAAGTTAGGGATTATTGGTTCTTGGAGCAATTTATTTCATATGGTTTTCTCATGTTAAAAATGAATGAGTGGTGGGCTTCTTCTGTCCAATAGTCAGTACTGAGTAAATATGAAATTGATTTATATAAAGCCAAACAGAATGAAGTAATAAGCTCAGATGTGTAATCAATCCAGAGGAGGGACAGGTTTTGTTTCTGACGTTAATTTAGCTGAATAAGGAGGAAGAATCATTACTGTTATTTCAAGATCATATTTGAAAGGAAAGAAAAATGGAGATTGGCTAGAATTTCATGGAAATTCCCACAGTGCAGTGAACTAGGGATGTTTAAAATAAGACCACTGTATAGCCTATATCAGTTGACTTAGGCTGACAGATCTCAAGGAAATTAGAGTTGCTTTTCCAAATCCCAGGATTTCAAGCTGTCTTTTCTCCCACCAGATAATTTTGTCAAAACACAGGAGAACAAGTAAGCCACTTCAGACAGTTATAATCTGTTCTTTTGCCAGCACTTTCTACAGCATTGGTAGGAAAAAGACTTCTCTTATCTCCCCAGAGTTCAGGCCTCAGCTGCAAATTGATGAGGTCATCCCTCAGTCTTTCACAAGTTCATTTCTTACCCATCAGGCCCCTTTCTTCTTCAGATTGCCTGGGCAACACAGATCACCTGACTGACACGTCTGATTCCTCTAACCTACCTTTTTCAGCTTCACCACACCTTCCTGTGTTTCATAGTCTGTTGTGATTTCAAACATTTCTATGCCATCTCCATCAACGATATTGTATGTGACTAAGCCATTTTCTCCAATGTCTGGGTCTTTAGCCTTCACTCTTCCTACTTCCTCCCCCGGGACAGCTGCTTCTGAAACAGACATCTGGTACACGCCTGAAAGAAGAAGACATCTACTTTTATTTTCCTTTTTTTTTGGCAGCTGTAAGACTTGAGATTTCATTGAATCTCAGTACATTTCTCAAAGGGTTTAAAATTGAACTTTCTATTGGTAGAACACAGAAGAGAAGTAGATGGATGGGAAGAGGGTCCCAGGTGGTCTGCTTGCTAGAAGAATGTGTTCTTTACAAAACGATAAAATGATATTGGGGTCCTGAGTGAGACGATGGGGTCACCTGTTACATGAGAGGAAGGAAACAAGTGATGGAGAACTATGAAAGACTCCACATATATGAACAGTTGAGTCTTCCTTTTTGCTTTTTCATTATATCCCATAAGTTAATTCCCAGGTTTCCCTGTACAACTGCTAATTGCTTGGGGAGCAAAAAAAGAAAACCACAATCACTCCTACATTTAGAAGCCTTCTAGCACTTCATAATTATTTTAGAGACAAATAAAATCTTTCAAGAATGTTTCTTTTTTACAGATATGTTTGTCTCTCATCTTACACTACACCCTTCCCAGTAGGTCAAGCAGTGAATTCTCTGGAAGCACTTAGATAGTTTACTCCCTCTATACTTATATTTATATTAATCAAAAGTATAAATGATGTCAGACACTCAAATGTATATTTATCAGGGATGGAAATGATGTAACATACTCCTTTGGCTCTGAAACTCAGTAATAAAAGGAACTTTATGATTCTTCCCTTAACAGAGGTACAGAATTAAGAAAATGTATCAATATACACTATGATGTTATAGGCTAAGTAATAATTTGTGGTAAGGGATAAAGGGGTGTGTGTGTGTGTGTGTGTGTGCGTGTGTGTATGTGTGGGTGTGTGTCTGTGTGTGTCTGTATGTCTGTGTGTGTGTGTGTGTGTGTGTGTGTGTGTGTATGTTTAGGAGTATTTAAGCTATACAAGACGGTAGGCAATTAAGTTTGTGCCTCTGCTATATATGCTATATATGAGTGACTGTACATATGGATGTATGAGATAGATGTTTTTCTATGCAGATGAATGTGAGTGGGCATATATCACTGTTTGGTATTGGTAGGTTTTCCTTCCTCTTTTGGAATCCTCAAAATCTAATATGTGTCTCATAGTCTTCTCCTTTAATATCTCTATTGAGTAGATTGCTACCTTTGGATTCCTTTGAATAACCAAGGTGTCTCCTTAATTGCCATACCTAATTGCCTTACTTTCTGCTTATTTATATTTTTAAGATTGAGTCTGGGTATGTGTATATATTTCTTTGAGCGCACATTATGTGTCAGGGGAGGTGCTTGCAGAGAAGAGAAAGGGGGTCAGTTGCTCTGTATCTGGAGATATGAGTAAATTTTGAGCTGCCTGATATGGGTGCTAGTCACTGATCTCAAGTCCTTTACTGGAAGAGGCTCTAATGAAAAAGATTCTCATTATAGCTGTTTTTTCCATTACTAGAAACCACAGAGTCATTATGATAATGTTATAACTATGTTCACATTTGTACACACGCATATTTGTGTTAAAGTATGGCTTTGGAAATTCCTTAGGCTGCTCATTACACTTTCTGTGCAATCACATTTTTATCTATAAAATGTAGGCTTATGTTAGATACTTATAATATTAGTAATCACTAATCAAATGATGGTGCAATTAGCAGCTATTATTAATTTCAGTATTTAAATATCATTTTATCTAAAGAGTTGTTTTATTTGGTGCTGGAAAGATTGCTTATGGATAAGAGCTCATGTTTTTCTTTCTGTGTACCAGAGAGTGGTTCCTAGCACTTAAACCAGTCAACTTATAAACACTTATAGTTACAGCTTCAAGGAACTCTGGCATCTCTGGCTTCTGTGGGTACCTTCACATAGATACATGTATCCCCACATAGGCACATTCATAAACACATAATTTAAAATAATAAATATAAAAGTTTATCTGATTTTCAGTTAAGTATATGTTTGTATCTATGTACACAAGAGTGCAGATACAGCAGAGACCAGAAGAGGGAGACAGATCCTCCTGAAGATGAATTACAGGCAGATAAGAGCCACCAACATCAGTGTTCAAAAAAGTATTATTTATTCTTAACTACAAAGCCATCTCTTCATCACTTTATTCATCTTTATTTCCCACATTAATTTCATAAATTTTGTACAATAATCAAAATAACAATAGCTAAATAATTATTGCCAGTTTTTTTCAGATGATGTAAGAATCAACACTTGCTGGGTTAATCCATATAGTGATAATTATATTTAAATTAGATACTAACATGTTGTCTTCTAAAAAACAGACAAGAATATCTCTCATCCTACAGGCCTCTCTTCAGCATTATTTTATGGTCTTTCCATAGAAAGCTGAGGTCTGGATGAACTCTTAAATTTTGGCAGCTTTATGGTTACCGTGAAAGAAGCCACGTGACTTCTGTAGTAATTTCAGAAAAGGCAAAACAGTAGGTTCCTGTGGTCTTGGAGTTCTTATGACCAGAACTCAGTCACAGAAAAGCTCATGCCAAGAGGAAGTAAAAGTCAATCTCAACTTGCAGCCCTGTAAGTTGTCTTAGAAGTGGGGCTTTCAGCCTCAGGCAGGCTGTCACCAGCCAATACTGGAGTGAAAATAAAGGATCAATCTCACCTAAGCTCTGCACAAATTGAAAAGTCAAGACACAAATAAATTATTATTTTAAATCACCAAGATTTGGGGCAGTTTGTTTTGGAACAATAAACAACAGAGCAAGGTACTGCTACCATGCAGGGTATTAATGAAGACACGGAGAGAAAGGGTAATTGATTTCTACCTCGCATGACTAATAACCTAGTAAGTAAAATACCTAAAAACACAGATTTTTTTTGTCTCTAGAGTTACAGAGCTATTAATATCTTCCTTTCTTCTCATTATCTCTATAATATCTAACTCTTTTGTGTGTTTGTGAGTAAGTTATCTTGTTTTAGTCTTTAACAAGAATGATGAAAATGGTTCTTGGTTTTCCAGACTTTTCTTTTTGAAAGCTGAATAAATTCAGAATGAGTGAAAAGACGATGATCTGACTGTACAGTAGTAAAATGACAACTTGACCAATTTCAACTACTTACTCTGTGGAAACTTTGGTGGGTTATCATTGACATCAGTCAGTGTGATCGTCACTTTGGTTGTCCCTGAGAGTCCTCCCATGTGTCCACCCATGTCCTTGGCCTGGATCACCACATGGTACTCCTCCTTGGCTTCTCTGTCCATATTGGGAAGGGCTGTTCTGATGATACCTGGAAGGTAAGCAATTAAAAAAAAAATCACAGCTATTCATTCATGACAAACTTTCAACAAGAAAGATATTTTAGATCTTGGGAAGGTATATACATAAAAAGAGTCTATTTGTTCAAAGAAAAGTCATTTTAACACAACAATTTTATCGGAAAGAACTCCTGCCCAAAGCATCTATTGTCAAGCAAATAATAAAGCTACTTACATAGTACTAATCAGCTTTGTTTTTCACTAGGCATGCAAATAACAATCTCATTCTCAGACACAACAATCTTGACCATTGAAAGGACAAATACCTAGTGTGTATACACATTTCTGGACTTATAGCAGAAACATTCAGAAAGCTAGTCCTACATGAAATTATTAGAAACATTTCTACATCCTATACAAAGTTTACAGAGGAGCCATAAATTTTATGCAATGCATTAATATCCTAATATTAATTTTTAAATAAGTGAACTGATGACTAAGGAAGATGTGCAAATCTTGTACAAAGATTCAGTCTACAACAGCTGTCACTGACAAGCATGATAAATTATTGAATTATTTATGAACTCTGTACATTGAAACACTATTTGTGTGAAAAAACATGCTTACATGCACCTCCAGGGATCACATTGAAGTGTTCACACTCATTGAATAAGGTAATATTTGTAGAATAAATACAAAGAGCAAAGAGGAAACATTGGTCTTTGATATGCCTTCTCAATGTTGACATGTTTCTTTGCAATAGCCTGGAGTTCCTGAGACCTTATTTTCCTCATCTGCTAGATAGTTTTGTATGTTTCAATTGGTAATTACTAGCCCTGGTTTCCCAAGATTAGAGTTTTTCAACATCTCTAAAACTCTAGATCAATTCCATATTTATCCTTGGTTTAACTCAATGACTAGTGGTAAATGGGTTTATGACACTATAGACAATAACTTTACAAGTTGTTGTTTGGAGAAAAGCAGTGAAAATGAATTAATGCATAGAAAAGTAGTAATTAAAAAACAACTGAGAAAGTACCAAATTGGGAAACAATATGTAAAAGCTAAAAATTGTCTGAAAACCTCTTCTAAAAAGTGTGTAACATACTATGGAGAAAGAAAAGGTCCCTGTTATAATACTATGGAAGATCAATTTTATAGGATTATAGTGTTTATTCTTGTTGAGAATCACTTTTCGTATAAATGAATCATAACATGGTTATAGTTTGTGTTGTGCATTGATTCGTTTTATTTGTTTGCTCTTTATTTCATAACATCCATTGGGAACCTATGCGCACAGTAAGAGTCATTGGAAATGTGCTGAATCTTCCTGTAACATAAACATTAACTACTACTCCTGACACTCCTGAGTTTACCCAGTGGCCTTCCAAGGATAATTTGAAAGTTAACTACTTTATAACAGTTTCTGTGTCTTTTAATATGGATCCAAAATTCAGAACAATTCTTTCTCATGAGTTGAACTTTTAAAAATTTATTGTTATGAGCTAGAACACTAATAAATATGTTTTACTCCATTCAACCATATGCCCAGCATGTACATAGGCTGTCAGGCCCTCATACCAACCATGCAGAGTGTCCCCTTTATTTCTGTCAAGTATAAGGAATTTTATAGTCAAAGCAATTAAAGGAACAGACATTGACTCCTTATTGACTCCAATGTGCAATCCTCTATACCTGTCTGGGCCTCCACTGAGAAGTAGGGTTGTCCTTCAAGAATACTATACACTAACTTGGCACTATTTCCGTAAGTGGGGTCGTCTGCATCAGAGGCTGTCACTTGGATTACTGATGTTCCTAAAAAGAGAAAGAACAAAATGAGCAATACCCACTAAACATTTCAAATACATTAGTGTTTACAGGGGTTCCTTTAATCTCAAATGCTGAACAGAGGCCCACAATTAGTTAATATGTTATTGTTTTCCTAAAGTTCAAGGGCAAAACACTCCACTCCATTTCTTCTTCCTTTTCTCATTTTCCTCTTCCTTTTCTTTTTAACTCTCAGGGCTTAAAACTAAACTTTCTATATTCACAGGGCCTCCTGTCTGGCTGTGTAATTAAAATAATAATATGAAAATCCTTGTCAAAAATTCTTAGAACTATGTGATGGAAATATTCAGTGTATCAGACAATTAAATAAAAATCTTCCCAGAGAGTGTAATAAATGATAATTAACAATGAATTGCTTTTCATGAAAGGACAGAGTGCACCCTGCTATCTGTAACAACAAATACATCATTTTATTGTTGCTTTGCCTGTAATAAAATTACTGCTAATACTAAATTTTAATTAATTTATGGTTATAAATATTATATGAAATTCTGTTCCTTACTGGCATGAAAATTGCATTTTCTCATCATCGTTGGGTCTGTTAGCTACGCAATAGAAATCATCAGTGAGTACCCAATGGGATCTAATTGACAAATTCCTAGGTCAGAAGAAAGGGAAATCAGGAATAGGAGGGAAGAATCTCATTGCTTTTTCTTTTAAAGCTTCATTGTCACAGTAACAGTCTGGGAAAGGGTATGCTGATCATTAGAGTAGAGAGAAAGGAGACAGAAGGAGGGGAGAAGCAATTATCCAGTTTATCTCTGCCAAGCAGTGTTTGGGTTAAATTCCATGTAAAGTGTTAACATTCCTCTGCTAGACATTTTTTACATCTATCTGACTTGGAGAATATTTGGTGTGAGGATATGACATTTTGAAATCTCTTCCAAGGTTATTTATTGTCAGAGTCAGGAGTCTAATCCAGTTCCAGCAATAATAAGACCCAAGTTCCTTCTCTGACATTGTCCCGCAGAGGCACGGTTCCTCCTGTCAGGATACAGAACTCATCTACATGGCTTACAGATAGTTGTCCCCTCCCTACCTCACGGGGTTTTCTATGACTTCCACGAGAAACACAAGAAAAATCTCACTCTTCCAAATACTCTCTTCAAAATAAGGTTTTTATCCTTATATATATATATACCATTGTATTTTTGAGCTATTTATCACAAACCAGGGACTATTATAGAAAATGGAAACTATAACAAAATCTTTATGGAATACCCAAGGAAGTTACTAACCATTATGATTTCATTTAATTCTACAATTTTGCTAAGTTGTTGTCAAATCTTTCTATTTTGCTTATTTACTTCACTCTCAATGGAAAATATTAACCTAATTTCATAGTTGAAAAGACAATAATTTAGGGAGGTACACAAAGGAGCCAAAGTTCACATAATTGTCTGACAAAAAAAAGTCAATAATTTCATATGGTATAGTAGAATGTCTGGTCACTGTCCTAAACACCAAAGTGTGCCCTGAAGAGAACTATAACAAGTCCCCTGGGTTATGAGTTTGGATGCCTAGCTAGCTACACTTCCTAATCCTGCTGCTTCTCATTAGAATTCAAGAGTGAAGACAGAGTAGACCAAAAAAAAAAAAAAAAAAAAAACAGGCCAAGAAAAAGGGATAGGATGGAGGGAGGAGAATCAGCCTGGGTTTGCTCAGTAAAAGAAGGCCTTAGTTTGCATGGAGGGCAATGGCATTTATTTCATAAGAGGCTCTACCCACATACTGGAAGGACCTTAAACGTCTAAGGTCACAGCTGTCTCTCTTGAGTAAGCTAACCGTCATCTTCGGTGCTTGTTTTTCTCATTTGTGAAATGAAAACCCTACCCCTGATTGTCTTTATACTCACTCAGGCTCATGGATCAGACAGCCTCAAAAGACCATAACCATGCATATTCTGTAAATTCACGTGGAAGTGATACCTAGGAGGCAGCTACTTGAAGAAACTTTTAGAATTCCATCACTGAAAATAGCAATGTGTATTTAAGCGTATTGAGATCATCAGATGATGACAGTGTTGAATGCATGCTGAATGGACTAAGTAGCACAAGTGACCCTGTAAAATTAGCTAATCTCTTTCTGCTTTTGTTTCTCATTTTTACATGACAAACTAGATCAACTGCTTTGCAAAGTTTAATTATAGCCAAGTTAAACACAATAGTATAGGTACACAATCAATTAACACAAATCCCATATGCAACTAACATTATAATTGCTGTTACTTATTGGACATCAATATGCTTTAGTGATTGGATACTTATTATCAATACTCTTTGAGGATGGCAAATTGCTAGTCCCATTCTACAAGGGAAGAAATTATATTAACTGGTGTCACAACAATCAGCTAATACTCCAAGTCAGAATTTGATAAACTGTTACATAATACCCCACTTTGACTCTTCATGGTTAATATCTATTGACTTCACAACCTCAAGTTTGTTATGAACATTTAAAAATTCAAGTTTCTGTGTCTATATCTGTTTTTATGCAACTTTGCATGGGTCCTTTCCCTTCAGTTTGTTTCTTTTGTCCTAATCCCAAGCATTAGCTTTTATTTCATCTTATTATAATATTTTCTTTTATCGTTATCCTTAGTAACCTATTTGTTTTCTATTGAGAGATAGAAATAGGAGGAATTCAGAGGGGGGATATGGGGATGAACTTGGAGGAGTAGAAAAAGAGGGAACCATAATCAGGATATATTGTGTAAGAAAGGAAACTGTTTTTAATAAAAGAAAAATCCAATTAGGCAAATTTTTTTGTCAATGTGAAATAAAGATGCAAGGCAGGCCCTGGCTCCTGAATTGGGAGGACAAGCACTAGCCTGTCCACCTACAGAGACATCAGCTACAAGTGGAGTAGGTGACCCCCACTTACGCACCCACATTGGACCTCTCAGGCACATTGGCGTGATAGGTTTCATGCAGAAACTCCGGAGGGTTGTCATTAATGTCCTGGACCTTGACAATGAATTCTGATGGTGGTTCCAGTGGCCTGTTGGTGTCCCTGTCCACTGCCTGAGCCATCAGTGTGTACTGGGCTCTCTCTTCTCGGTCCAGTGTCTTCGTGGCATGAATGTTCCCTGATTTGTCATCAATCACAAAAATGGTTCCGGCTCCTTCACCTGAGAGAATGTATTTAATGTTCCCATCACCAGAGTCAATATCAGAATGAAGCTAGAAAAAGAGAAAACAGGATTTGTAATTTCATGAGGAACACAATGAAAACTCACAGACTGATTGTTGCACTATGTACACATATGTACACATACACACACTCACACATATATCATGAGAGCTAGTCATTTCCACAATCATTTTCTGAATGATAAAATCTGGTCTTAGAATACTACCATGGCCAAGGTCATTAAGCTGGGTTCTGATAGGGCTAATACATAAGTTAATTTTTAATTCTGAGATTCAATGTTCTTTGTCTCTCCATTTCATATATTATATATATGCATAATATAAAATAGATGTGTACATATCTGCCTCAATATTTATTTTGAAAGAAACGCATGCATGTATTTTGAACACAGGTAAACATGAATTCATGCAGTATCTTTCTCTCAATGTTTACTCCCTTTTCTTCTCTAAGTAGAAATACTATTTTTACAGACTTCTTATGACCCCTCTATGATACATATACAAGCGTATCTTCAGAGATTCACAAGTGTTCCTCACTTAATTTCACATAATACCAGGCCAGAGACTACATGTTATTCTTGCATATTATTCTTGTAGCTTCCTTTAATTGTAACATCTGTAGCCCCTTCAACAACAACATTCAAGGGCTTCCTCATGATACTCCACTTGATATTGTTGTCAATTCTTTCAGAAATTCTCCTCAAAAGACACTTATATTGCTCAGGCTTTTGTGACTACAAGTAATTCAACTAATCAGACTTTTACAGATCTGCTGCCTAGTACTCAGGGTCTAACATCGGGAGCTGTTATCTTCTTAGACCACAAAGGATGGTGGAACAGGGTGATACGCATGTAGTCCTTAGACCCTTGGAATAATGCCCAGCATCCTTGGATAGTTCCAATTTTCCAGAGGATCTAGAGTCATTTTTTGCCTAAATCTATACTGACTATGGTCAAGAATACACTCTGTTCTGTTAGACACCTTTTCTACTAGCTCTGACCCAATTCTGCTCTGTGATTCAGAAAACACCTCACTAATTTTCCTTCAGAAGTAAACTCCCTGCACTCCCTTTCCTTCATCAAGATTTCTGTGTCCCTTGGCCTCCATTATCTCCTCTTGAAGGAAAATGTAAATGTTATTTCCATTGTCTTATACTACTGAAAAATAGCTAAGAGGTTTAAAAATATCCATTGAGTAAAACTTTTGCTTATGAAAATTCAGCAAAAATTAACTTCACAATAATAAAAAGTATTACTAATTTTCATTTAATATCAATTGATTTAATATTTTTACAAATATCACTTTCTTACTTTTAGCAAAATTTCTATGATGAATCTAAGGTCTATACAGCTTGCTCAAGATTCACAAAAAAACAACCCAACAACCTGAATGTACAACTTTTAAGATGTTTGTACCATTTAAATTTCCCAAAAGATATCTAATTTATTTGTAGTGGTTTAGCGAAACATCAAATATTTCAGCTCAGAGGTGAATACAAAGAGCACTTTGGTTGTAGACTCCAGGAATTCTGGAGCAGGGAAAGCATATAAATTTTATTTCAGAACTTGTTATAATCCACCATTTCAATGAAATATGTCTGATGTATTTAAGAGTTTGGCCACATGAAGTTATTTCATGGACTTTAGCAAACAATCATCATTCAATTTTCTTCATTGTCTGTGTTCCTCTCCCGTATCCTGCCTAAGATTGTTGTGTTCCTTCCCCCCCACCTTTGCTTCACAAGTGTCTAAAGGTAGAGGTTTAGTCCCATGAATGATGGCTGAAGAAGTAAAAATGAATGTCAAGCCATTGAAAGTTTCCAGCATCCTCACACATTGCATAGTAAAACAGAGAAATGCATTTCATAATGAGCCACGTACCTGAAACTTTTACAAAGCATTATGTTCATCATGTTTCTCCTTTGTTTCTGCTCCCTCCAAGATTTACAAGTTGGATAAGCATTCCCTAGTTTTCCTCTCACACAAAGATAATCTATTATACTGACAATACTATTTATTAGGTTCCACACAAAAGCAGTTTGGGAACACAGCAAGCCCTATCAAGGGTCCAGTTGCTGAGGTATGCACAGCCAGATCCTGATGCCAGAGACTGATGGCTTCTCTCTTTGCACAGAACAGCATGACACAGGCTAAATTTCTGACATGAGAACTGTAAGTCTATTTTCTTTGGTAAATTCTACCTTTTCAGGGAATTTTAAAGCATTCAACCTTGAATGTCACCATTCAAATGTTGTTAGAGAAAAAGTCAACCATTCCTCCTACTTAAGGGAGATCCATCTCAGCACCATGTCAAAAGGAAAAGGAACTGTGCGATCCAACTGAACGCACACACACACACACACACACACACACACACACACACACACACACACACACCATCTAATCAACATTGCTTTAGTAGCCTAAATTTTCAAGATCAGACAGGGGATGATGCCAGGTTTTACCTTCTCCTTTTTATTCCTGTATCTCTCTAGCAATACAACATTTGCTAGATCCAGAGAGAAGAAATCTCATCTGACTCATTAAATGCTGTCATCTCTGTAACCTCCAAGTCTCAACACTGTTCCCCTCTAAGGCAGAGACAAAGCAGAAGGTCATTCTCTCAGAGCAATTCAAGCCCAGCTCTGAACATTGCTTGGGCTAGGTTGCCCTACCTTTCTGAACTGTCTTTTTCCTTTCTGTAAACTAGCATAATACTTCAGACTACAAAGTGCTTGTAGAATATTTCCCTGTTTTTCCATTTTATCAAAATTATTCCTACATATTTTCACTTTATGAATACATTAATTAAATTATTTAGTACATCATTTCTAGAAAATATATTCTCAGTTATGAATTATGGTAAAATCATCATGAACACTCACTGAGTATAAAAATCAATTATATAAAAATAGAATGCTGTTTTCATATAAAAGAATAAGTAAGGAAACTTAGTTGACATCTTTGCAGTTCAAAGATGTATATCTCTACCACCTATGCTTACTTCGATGCCTCTATGTTGAACTATTTATATTTATCTTTCAGTTCAGAAGTTATGACTAGTGCTAGGGACATAAATTCAAATTATTAAATTGAATTTTATTACCCTTCTCATTCTAGCTGGAATTTTTTTCTTTAATTGAATGCATGACTACCTCCTTTTCTCTATGTTATTTGAGGTCAGGTATTGCTTTACCCTGATTTATCCTCCGCCTATCACTACTTCTCCACAAAGTACTGCTTCAATTTGTGTGTATGAAAATACCTGTCTCCTAAAAATTAATGCTAGTATTATCTAAAAGAGCCACAAGTGTTATCTTAATAAGTGGTAGGAGGTCAGTTTGCCAAATAAATTTTTGGACTCTCTGCATTTATATTTTTGATGAGTTTGCATAACAAATTCAATACCTAAGGAGAAATCGAAATCTAGCTCTAGTATAACCATATCTGAAGGCAATAAGGATAAAATCACTCCTATCCTAATGGTGCACATTTATTCATATCCTTGCCTTCAAAGATAAGATCAAGATTTGAGGATTCAAAGGTAATCTAATGCCTCATACAAAGTAGAATGAAATTTGGTTTAGGAAGAAGTCAAACAGAAAAGAAAGCTATAATGAAAGGGTACAGAGAGACATGAGGACATTAAAATGGGGACAAGCAAGTTGGGGTTAGGATATAATCAGAGAAATTCCTCCAGGTGAAGAATGGTTCAGTAAATTAAGGTATCATTTCTTTCAATAGGCTACAAAGCAATTTTTACAAATGGTGTTCTTATGGTATAAGAGGACATTAGAAGCTTTCTCAGTGTGGATAAGTCTATGAATGAGATAGAAAAACTGAATATATATATATAATATATGTAAAATGTGGTTATCTTTTCCATGACAGCAGGTCATTAGTGATGTCTAAATTGGCTTTTATTTGATTGTTTTTGTTTTATTGGGTCTTGCTTTTGCCTGTTCATTAGTTTGCCTGTTTTTTGCTTAATTTTTGTCTTGGTCAAGTGCTTCGTATGATGAAGACATACAGATTGATCAATATTGAATATAAGCAATCTTACCCTGCCCACAAGCACAGGGTCAGGCCCTGTGTATTCTTCTATCACAAAGAACTGGTTCCAGACCCAGCCTCTCTTGGAGCGCTGCAGCACCTGGCCCTCCTTGCCCTTCTCATGGTGTCCATGGAATGAGGGCCGTAGGTGGTTTCGTCGCTCCAGGGCAAATGCCTGGCTGTGGTATAGCATGCTCAGGCACACCAGGGCAGCTTGTAAACAGTAGTTCTCCTTCATTTTTGGTAATGCAGCAGGCACAGGAGAATGCAGCTGTCACTCCCTACACCAACAGAGTGGCAGGCTTTCGGGTGGCGGCCTCCCAGATGTGTCAAGTAGACCTCCTCTGGAATGGAGTATCTTCACGTACTGAGGACATCACATCAGGGCTGCCCACTTCCCCAGTCAGCTTCTGCAAGCAGAGAGATGTTGGGTTAGCTTCATCCTCACATCATTTCATTTCCATTTAGCAACCATGTTGGTATGAATATCAGTTTACATATGACAGCTCTGGGAAACTGACTGCTTTCTCTGAACCCCTCTTGCTCATTTTATGAAATGTATATAAGAATAGTATTCATCGAAATGTTGCAGCAAAGATCTGAATATAAGGCCCCTAAAACTGTCTGGCACACAGAAAGATTTTTACAATTAATTGATCATAAGTGTGTTTGGCTATGATCATGTGCTAGAGAAACTAAGGATATTAAGGAATCCCAGCAGAGTAACACAGTATTCACAGTAATTATGCCAGAGGCTGTCCAAGTTTAGGGAGACTTCTTAGAGAATGTAGCAGCTAGGTTGAATACTGATGTGAAGTCTACTAAGTTAAGAATGGAGGGAATAGGCTACCATGAGTAAAAACACCACAATTCCCCAGCCATTCTGGGTAGTTAACCACAGCATATACCAAGACATTAGCACAAATGGAAAATATAAGGAATTTATGTCACAGACTCTTAGATGAAAGGGAAGACGATGGTAATGAAAATGAACAATAAAGAAATAAATGGTCAAGGTGTGGGGGGACACAGGTCTGAAATCCAGCACTCAGTAGACAGACTCAAGATGATGCCAAGTTTATGAAGTTTGAGGATCTACCAGAGGTCATGTTGGTACCCAGAACCTCAGGCAGAACCCTACCTGAAGACCTCCAACACTTCTCAGAGCATGCCCATTTCCTGCCAATAGACCTCCTCCCTTCAACACCAGATCCCAGCACATAACTTCACATAGAAAAACAAAACAGCCAGGATAGATAAAACAATCCTGTAGAGTAAAAAAGAAAGAAAAAAAAGTCTTGAAGTGTCACCATCCCTGATTTCAAACTCTGCTACACAGCTATTGCTATTTAAAAACAAACAAACAAACAAATAACCTCATGGTAGGTCAATGGAATTAAATCAAAGACTCAGATGTAAATTTACATACTTTTGGACACCTGTTTTTGATAAAGAAATCAGAAATGAACCCAGGATAATAAAAGCATCTTCAACAAATGGCACTGGGCTAAATGGATGTCAGTATGCAAAAGAATGCAAATAGATATGCATCTATCTCCCTGTATAAAATAAAGTTCAAGTGGTTCACAGACCTCAACATTAAACCAGATACATTAAACCTGTTAGAGCAGAATGTGGGAAATAGTCTTCAACACATTGGTGCTGGAGACAACTTCAGAAAAGACAACCAATAGCAAAGGCACTAATATCAGAGTCAATAAATGGAACCTCATAAAACCGACAAACTTCTTTAAAGCAAATGACACTATCAATAGGACAAAACAGCAAGCAGCCTACAGAATGGGAAGATATTATCACCAACTCCACTTCTGAAAGAGAGCTAATATGCAAAATGTATGAAGAATTCAAGACAGTAGTTATTGAAAATATCAAATAATGAGATCTAAAGCCTAGTAATGGGGGATAAGGAGGCAGCCTGCCATTGCAATCTTCGGTAACTAGGCAAGGGTTCCAATAAAAGGACTGGGAACCCAACTCAGCCACAGAACCTTAGATCTACAGTTTGCCCTGCTTGCAAGATGTGCTGCAGCAAAGGTGGCATAGAACGTGTGGTATTGGCTAACCAATCACTGGCCAGCTTGAGAACCACGCCACAAGATGCAGTTCATGCCTGACATTGCCTGGAGGGTCAGGAACCAAAAGCTGGACAGCACAAAGATATAAGATAGAACCAAACACAACTGGCAAAATAATAGTCAGTGAAATTATTCCAAATATTCTACCTAGCATAACCATCACCAGAGAGGCTTCATCCATCAACTGATGGAAGCAAATGGTGACATTCACAATCAAACATTAGGCATAGATCAGGAAATCCTGTGGATGGGGGGATGAAGGCGTGTAGAAGTTGGATGGATCAAGGACAAGAAAACTGATAGAATCAACCAATCACGGCTTATAAGGTTTCATGGAGACTGAATTGACTATCAGGAACTCTGCATGCATCTGAGAAAGATCCTCTGCACATATGTTATGCTTGTGCAGCTTGGTGTTCTTGTGGCACTCCGAACAATGGGAGCCAGGTATCTCTGACTCTTTTGTCTGCTTTTGAGACCCTTCTCTTCATACTGGGTTATCTGGTTCAAATTTAGCATAAGGGGATATGCCTAGTCATATTGCAACTCAATATGCTTTATTTGGTTGATGATCCAGGGAGAGGAGGACTGTCCTTTTTTGAAGAACAGAGGAGAAGTAGATATGGTGGAGAGGAGAGGTGGGAGAGATGAGGACTGGTAGGAGAATAGGGACAGAAAACTACAGCTGGGACACAATATATGAGGGAATAATTAATAAAAAGAATACAAAGAAATTTGAGGCTATTTTGATCTAATCTGAGCTGCATAGTGAATTCCAGGCCAGCCCTACCTATCAGGATGCTGTGTTTAAAAAGAAAATATTTAAAAGGTCAAGTCTCTATTGAGCTTTGTTGATCAATTAATTATAATTATAGTGATCAATTAACACTACAGTGTCCACTAATAGGTCAAATTCTCATTGACTCACTGGTGGATTTATTAAAGCTATAGAAGTCAATTAAAGCTGCACCATCAACTTCTTTTTTTGTTTTGTTTGTTCTGTTTTTCTTTTTATGGTCTGAAGTCTCCCTCATCACCTCAGTACCCTGTATCATTTGACAGTTCTACATATGATGCTTTCCAACTTCACTCCAATCATAAGAAGAAAATTTGAACAGGAAACCTGTAACAGGCCCAATATTGCTTCCACAAACCCAATCATCATGCAGTAGGAAGGAACCATTACATAGTTTACGTTTCCAAACATCATGTATATATCTGACCTAAAGTCTCTAGACTTCTTTTTGAGTTTTAGTACTGGAAATAACTTTTTCCTTGTATGACATTCTTTGTTCATTCTGCTTTCTTATATCTCATGTTTCATTGAATAAAAGTATATGGTCTCTATTGATGGCATCTGGAATACAGGCTTAAGCCAGCTAGCTCTCAGAAACACATGTATTCTCTATTCTCCACTACCCAGGGACAAACACCAAGTAGGACCTGGGATTCTTCCTCTTTTCCCATGGTAGAAAATGCAAGCCTTTCACTCTTTGCTGCTCACCAGATTGTATGCTTGTGCCTTAAAAGTGGAGAAGACACAAGGAGAGCGGTGAGGCACTTAGAGAGGAAGGAAGAAATAAGTGTTACAGGGAACACGGTAGCCATTTGTCCTTAGTAGTCTAAGATATAAATGGGCTTGTAGAATATTTTCATAGAGCAAATCCTGTTTCCTTGTCAGTCTTTGACTTGGCCTATCCAAGCCTTTGTCATAGCCAAAATAATTTCTGAAGAGGCTGCAGACACAGAGTTGGAGGTTCTATCATCCAAGTAAAAGTTTATAATAGTATTGTTCCAGTTTCTTCGAAAGGAGGAGTTGAAGCCTTTAGCATTTGTTGTATTGCATTGCATGCATTGGAATATGTAAAATGCAATAATATGCATTGGAATGTGCAAAATTCAGTAAGAAGGAAGGAGGTTAAAAAGGCAGTGCTGTCACACATCAACTTCTTTTCTCATTAATATTCATCATTTTAATATTGTATTTTTAACTATCTCTCCCCCACACTCTGTGTGAATGGTGTACATGAGTTCAGATGCTCACAAAGGCCAGAAGCCTTCAGATCCCCTGAAACTGGAGTTCTAGGTAGTTAGGGGCTGCTAGAAATGAGTGTTGGTAGCACAACTAAAGTCCTTTGCAAAAGCAGCAAATGCTCTTAACCACTGAACCATCTTCCTAGCCACAACACTCACCATTTTAATAATCCACCAAATTTTGTTTTTAGCAATGCCAGAGCACTATGTAGCAAAAGCATAGAAAATGCCATCAACAGGGAGGAAATATTAAAGTGAGGTCCTAAGAAACAACAGTGAGAGCAGTGGGTTTAGCTAAGGAAACACAGCTCCAACGCTAATTTGTCTTGGACCACTTCAGTTCCCCTCTGTATGACTCTGCCTCCCCATTGGTAAAATGGAAGCTTGAATAAAATTGTCTTTCAGAGGCTTCCTTCTTCTTGCATGTTATTGAGGTTTTAGTGAAAGACTATGGAGGGTGTTTTTCTAATTTCTATTCTGTGTTTTTGTCAGACTGGTAACCTCTTAATAGTTAAGGTTATACTTATTACACATGTCTAGGATCTGAGTTCAAAGAGGCCATCCATAGCAGTTCAAAGCATGAGTTCAAGTACACACTTGAACTTGAGACTTAATGCTGCCTCTGTAGAAATTCTGGAAAAGAAAGGAAAGAACATATGGTGCAAGGTCTCTGCCCATTTTGTACCACGCCGAGTATTAAGTGTTCATTCACAAGGTGATAAATTATTCCAGCATATAAACTGTGAAGTGTATTTGAAAGAAAGGGTTTAATTAAAGTTGATATTTCTGCACCTCCTTTTTTCTGACTGCCATTTTGCTGTAAAGCACAATTATTTCTGACACCAAAGTGCTGAAACTACATGACAACTTTTCTACTTTTAAAAAAAGTCTAGTTTCATACTAATGAATAAGAGTTTCAATGTGACCAATAAACAATAAACTTTACTCTTTTTATAAAAAGATAACATTATCAATTTTCTGTTGAAAACAATAGCAAAACTAACCTTTTAAAGTAACTAATTAGTCATATGATTTTGAAATGCTTATATGACCATATACAATATGTTGCATATCTTAATAATTAATTCTTGAATTATGTAACTTGAATTTTAAGTCATTTACTCACTTCAGAATAAAAATCTATTGAGCAAATTAGTTTTTATTAGCCACCATTCAAAATGTCACAATTATTAGATCATCTATTGATTAACACATCAATACTTTTAATGGAACTATAAATAATACTTTTTAAAATATATGAACATTGAGGGCCAGACAAA